GGCAAGTGCTCTAGCCACAACCCCAGCGGCCCGCGCCACCCCACCCCCACCCCCCCCACCCCCCCGCATGTACTTTTTTTTCCCACTCTAGTGGGAATTGAACCAAGAGCCTCACAAACACTACCTCTGAGTTACACCCCCAGCCCTTTTTTTATTCTATTTTGAGGCAGGGTCTTTTTATATATATATATATTATTTATTTATTTATTTATTTTGGTTGTAGTTGGACAGAATACCTTTATTTCACTTATTTATTTTTATGTGGTGCTGAGGATCGACCCCAGGGTCTGGCCCATGCAAGGCGAGAGCTCTGCCACTGAGCCACCACCGCAGCCCTTTCTTTTCTTTCTTTTTTTTTTTTTTTAAATATTTTTAGTTTTAGGTGGATATAATATCTTTATTTTATTTTTATGTGGTGCCGAGGATCAAACCCAGAGCTTCACACATGCTAGGCGAGCATTCTACAACTTGAGCCACTACCCCAGTCCTTTAGGCAGGGTCTTTCTGAATTGCCCAGGCTGATCTCAAATTTTTAATCCTGCCTCAGCTCCTAAGTAGCTGGGATTATAGACGTGCACTGCAACACCTGGCTTTTCTTTTCTTTTTTTTTTTCCCTTCCTCTTTGGCAGGGTTGTCTTTTCTATTATGTTTATTTCCCCTTGGGCTGCTTTGATTCTGAGGCAAGCACTGGAGTATCTCTTGTCTATATTGTCACCTGTCGAAACTGAGGCCCCACCACCATGACCCCTTTACCTACTCAAACAACCTGCAACTCTGAGCAGGGCTGAGCAGCTCTGGCTCAGCAGGTTTCTGGCCTTAAAAGTTCAGCTTCCTCATCCATGAAATGAGAATAATGATTTTGCCCAACTTGTTGTGGGAACAAATGAAGGTGGGTTTCCAGTGCTTCTCCCAGTGTCAGGCCTTCCCTCTACCTTTTGTCTTCTTGCACAAAGATCTGCCAGCTGAATACCTGACAAACAGGAACCTTAGCCAGGTGAGCAATCACCAGTCACAAGTCCTGCTGTTGGTGTGCACATTTGATTTGATGAAATTGGCCCTTTACCTTTGTGACCACTTCCTAAAGGTCCCTAACTCAATGGTTAATGAGGAAAACACCAAATAGACTCCAGTGGCAGGGCATTCTATGAAATACCCGGACAAGGTCAAAAACAAGGAAAGTCTTAAGAAACTGCCACAGCTAACATTTGCCTAGAGATTGGACGACTGAGTAAGTATCTCCTGGGTGGGGTCCAGGAACAGAGAAAGGACAGTTGGAGGAAATAAGCAATTGAAATAAACTATACATTTTGGTTAATCGTGATGTAGAAATAAGGGTTCATTAATAAGCTTATTATACTAATAATGTAAGATAATACCATAATATAGGGCATGATGCCAAGTATGTAGGAATCCTGTTGTCCTCTGAGTTTTCTCTGCAAATAACTGTTTAAAAAAAAAAAAAAAACAGGCTTAGTGGCTCTTACCTGTAATCCCAGTGACTCAAGAGGCCGAGGCAGTAGGAAAACAAATTCAAAGCCAGCCTCAGCAACTTAGCAAGGCCCTCAGTAACTTGCTGAGACCCTCAAAATAAAAAAATAAGGGCTGGGGATGTGGCTCAAGCGGTAGCGCACTCGCCTGGCATGCGTGCGGCCCGGGTTCGATCCTCAGCACCACATACAAAGATGTTGTGTCCGCCGAAAACTAAAAAATAAATATTAAAAAAAAAATTTCTCTCTCTCTCTTTAAAAAAAAATAAAAAAGGAATGGGGATGGGGGAACTCGGTGGTTAAGTGCCCCTGAGTCCAATTCCCAGTCCAAAAAAAAGTCTCTGGCGCTGTGGATGTAGTGTAGCATGGTATGCTTGATACCTTGGGTTCAGTGCCCAGCAGCACTTCCATCCCCCTGCAAAAAAAAAAGTCTAGTGAAAAACCTGGAAATATCTTTGAAAATCCAATTCTAGAACTGGAGATAAAGCTTAGTGGTAGAGTACTTGCCTAGCATCCATGAGGCTCTGGGTTCAATTCCCAATACTGGCCCCAAAAGACAAATCCTAGTCCCAACCCTTAGATGCTAATGCAGGTCTGAGGTGGGGCCCAGGCACCTGCGTTTTTAGCAGTTTCTTCATGTGACTACAATGCTAGCTCTTTAAGAAAGTGTGCTCCATTAGAGGCCAACAAGCAGCTGTCTTTTTCTTCTGATGTTTGGGATTGACAGAGTCCCACAAACGGAATGATTTCAACCATAAAAACTTACTGTCTTACTTCTGGAGTCTGAAAGCCTAAGACCAAAATGTCTGTAGGGTTGGCTCCTTCTGAGGCTGAGGGAGAGCCAGTACCATGCTGCTGCCTCCCTTCTGGTGGTTTGCTGGCAATCTTTGGTGTACTTTGGCTTGCAGAAGCATCCACCAATTTCTGCCTTCAACTTCATATGGTGTTATCCATCCAAATCTGTCTTCAAATTCTCCCCCTTTATGAGAACACCAGTCACATGTGAGGTTCACCTTGCTCTATTATGGCCTCCTCCTAACTAAGTGCATCCACAATCACCCAGTTTTCGAATTAGGTGGCATTCTGAGGTACTGGGGTTTAGGACTTCATTCAGATTTGAAGGTGGTTTAGACCCAGCAGCTGGGCCGGCTTAGTGCTTCTCAGCACATTGTCCCATGACCAGAAAATTCCCCAGAGGTCAGGGCAGACCACCTACTCCTCTGCCTACACCCAGCCACCATGGCAGCAGTGGGCTGCTGCAGTAGACCAGCTGCCGTGATGCTGTGGTTATTAGAGTCCCCTTAAGAATTGATGGGGGGCTGGGGATGTGGCTCAAGCGGTAGCGCGCTCGCCTGGCATGCGTGCGGCCCGGGTTCGATCCTCAGCACCACATACAAACAAAGATGTTGTGTCCGCCAAATACTAAAAAATAAATATTAAAAAATTCTCTCTCTCTCTACCTCTATCTCTCTCACTAAAAAAAAAAAAAAAAAAAAAAAAAAAAAAGAATTGATGGGATGGCCAGGCACAGTGGCACATTCCTGCAATCCCAGCGGCTCAGGAGGCTAAGGTAGAATTGCAAGGTTGAGGCCAGCCTCAGCAACATAGCAAGAGGTTTTTTGTTGTTGTTTTTGTTTTGTTTTGTTTTAAGTGCTGGGTATGTAGCTCAGTGGTAGAGCGCCCCTGGGTTCAATCCCTGGACTAAAAAAAAAAAAACTAAAATTAAAAAATGGGCTAGCTAAGGTCAGCATTGTTCACAGCACTCTGGTTTCAGGCTGTGATGAGGCAGGGCCCAAGGCACACTGGTCTAGCTGCTGAGACTCAGGGTGGGCAGATCTAACTCTCCCTTTCACCAAGCAGCTCCCCTTCCCTTGCCTAAATAAAAATGTAAACTGTTTGCACTTTAAGCAGATAATCTTGATCTCATTTTAGAATTTACAAGTTGAGCATTTGGTTTTGGATTATAAAGCTAGGGAAAGTATCTCTCAGGAGTCAGGAAAGAGGGCTTTGTCTATTTCATTTATAAGAGCCATGCAGAGCCATGCCCTGGGTTCCTGGGATAGTGCTGAGCATTAGGAGGCTTCTTCAGAGAAACAGGATCAGTGGCAGTTTCTTTAAGGAAATAGCTTAGAAGGGGGTTGGGGATTTAGCTTGGTGGCAGAGTGCTTGCCTAGCACGCACAGGGCGCTGGGTTCGGTCCTCAGCCCTGGGGAAAAAAAAAATAGCTTGGATGATTCTGGAGCCTGGCAAGTCCTAAATGTGCAGGGTAGGCCAATAGGCTGGTGACACTGGGAAGTTGAAGTTGTGGTTAGACTCTTAGGATAGTCTTCAGACAGACCATTTTTCTCTTCTGGCCTTGAAATAGGTTGAATGAGGCCAGCCCACATTATGGAGGTTTTACTTGCTTTACCAAAAGTCTACTAGATTGAATGTTAATCTCATCTAGAAAATACTGTCACAGAAACATCTGGATGGGTATTTGAGCAAGGATACTGGAGATGGGATCTTTGGCTTGGAAATGATAGAAATGAGACCAGCCAAGTTTGGGGAGCACACACAGGCAAGAGTTTGGGCTCCAGCCAAGTGGAGTAATTGGCACTTCAGCTGAAGGGTGACAGCACTGACCAATGGACCAGGGTGCTCTCTAAAAAAAGGGAGATGCAAGGTTTTATTGATTTGCTTGGGTGGGCTAATGTCTGGTCATTTTCCACAGGCCAGAGGCATAGTTCCAAAAGATGCTTCCTGTGAGGGATTCAAAACACTGAGTAATCACAAGCAACTTGTCCCCGGAACTGTTGAGTTACTCTTGGGACTGACTCTATCATCCTGCGATGGGGCTGAAGGACTGGGGCTGCTACAGCTGCTGAAAGAGCAGAGGGTGGGGCAGAAGGAGAAGACAAATCAGCTCCAAAGGGCAAGTGACATGTCCACGTGCAGGGTAGACTCTATCCTGCAAGTTAAGGCAGCAAATTATGAAAACAGAGATGCCATTTCCGTCACCTATCAGACACCTGCAGGCCCAAGAGTCAATGTTTTCAGCAAAATCGGCCTCCAAGTCCCTCTGCAAATTAACCTAGGCAACCCTGTCATCACAACCCACACATCAGAGTTGTGACCTACAGCAAAGCCAATGGGAGACTACTATATTGCCCAGCTGTATGATTTTAGTGGGGGAGGGGGGTGGGGGGAGTGCTAGGTGTTGAACCTAGGCATCTGGCCTGCTTGGCAAATGTTCCACTGCTGAGCCACATCCCCAGCCCCCCAGCTTAGCGCTTTTTAAATTGACCGTGAGTGAAGCTGGAGGGCTTAAGTGTTTCTTGGTAGCAATTTAATCCTTCTGTGGTTTTAAATGGTTTCATGATGGGTTTGTTGAATGAACACAGAGGCAGGAAGAGAAAAACATGCCATGCCTCAAAGGATAATAGTTCACTTCACCTGGGGTTTTATTTTATTGTCTCAGCCTTTATATATATATATATATATATATATATATATATATTTTTTTTTTTTTTTAAGTTGTTGATGGACCTTTGTTTATTCATTTATTTATATGTGGTGCTCACAATCGAACCCAGTGCCTCACTCAAGCTAGGCAAGTGCTGTACCGCAGAGCCACATCCCCAGCCCCTGTCCCAGCCTTTTGTCTCACTGTGGTGGTCCCTCACTATCTCAGTGTGGCCCAGCCAACTTAACACATAAGAACTCCCAGCACAGAATATTTAGGACTGTGATGCATGCTCCCTGAATACGGGGGCCTGTGGATGGAGCTCCCGGGTTTCTCATTGGTGAGTCGGGGTTTCCTTACCTATCAATAGTATCTGTCCCATATAGGTAACAAAACCAGCCAAGGCCACAAGGAAAAAACAGAAGGCTTGCCATGTGCCAGGAACTAGTAGTTAATGTACTTTTTTTTGGTGGTGGTATTGAGGATTGAACCTAGAGGTGCTTTGCCATTGAGCTACATTCCCAGCATTTTTATTTTTTATTTAGAGACAGGGTCTTGCTAAGTTGCCTTAGGCTGGACTTGGACTTGTGATCTTCCTGCCTCAACCTCCTGAGTGGCTGGAATTACAGGTGTGTCCCACCATGCCTGGCTATCCATTTCTTTTAAGGAGAGGCATAGAGAGGACAAATGACATGTCCAAGGACACCCAGTGCTATGGTCCAAATGTTTGAGTTTTCCTCAGATTCCCTCCTATGTTGAAATCCTAACCCTGATGTTGACTCAGATGTCCTTGAGCAGTGAAGCCTCCGGAGGGAAAGGAGTGGATGCAAACCCGGTTGAGACATAGGACAGTGGGGACGAATGGGACATTGGAGTAGGGAATCTCATCATTGACCTGGACACTGACCTGGGAAAGGACCAGCAGAAACTGGAAATGTCTGGCTCATAGGAGGTGGGGATGCCAGCTCCCAATGCTGTGGCCACACGACCAGACAGCGTCAAGTTGTGGCCCCAGTGCCAGGTCCTCAAGGGAAGGAAGGCAAATCAAAATCCAAAAGGAATAAGAGTGAAAAGACACTAGCAAACCCACTCAGGGACTTCCTGTTCACTCCAAGTGAGGGGGCAGCTATCAAGAAAGAGGTGCAGGGGCGCTCGGGAGGTGGTGCCAGTGCAGGAGGCCTGGTTGCTGCTATTGCTCCCAAGGGCTCAGAGAAGGCCGGTAAGGCATCCCGCAGTGTAGCCGGCTCCAAAAAGGAGAGGAGACAGCTCGTCTAAGAGCAAGAAGGAGAGAAGCCAAGGAGTGGGGACTTGTTCAGAAAAGGATCCTGGGGTCCTCCAGCCGGTTCCCTTGGGAGGACGGGGTGGTCAGTGTGATGGAAGTACAGGAGCTGTGGAGCCACTTGGGAGTATAGCTGTTGAGCCTGGGGCAGCGCTCAATCCTTTGGGAACTAAACCAGAGCCAGAGGAAGGGGAGAATGAGTGTGGCCCGCTAAGGAAAGTCAAGTCTGAAAAGGTAAGAGGTGGCCGGATCTGGCTGCCCACTGCAGTCAAAACTGCCCTGGACTAACTGCCAAATGCTGTGTGCACTCTGTTGGAGGCTTATTAGTTTGTAGGTAATGACCAATTACAAGGTCAGAGCAGCTGGTAATGATAATGTGGTTTTGTTCCAAATTAGAGGATTCCCTATAGGCTCATTTACAGCAAGCCCGGACATTTTGGAATAGGATATCTGTTCTTAGAATTCTACTTGGTAGAATGAATTTTCTCACACCTTGTTATTGTTCCATCTTGGACACTTGTTGCTAGAGGCTGGCACCAAACTTTTATGTGGTTTCCAGCTTGAATGACATTTCATTATTATAGAGTTATAATAGTTGATAAACTTAATTAGCTTTTGGTTACATGTATAGGACTGTTCTTAATGGAATAAATGGTGGTGTTGTGTTTCTGGAAGAACTAAAAGATTGATTAAGCTTCATGGCTTATCTACCAAGTGTTCTATTGTGGCTACCAAAGAGCATAAGGACACAGTTTCTGGTCTGGTAAACAAGGGGACAGGAGGTCCTGACTATACTATGAAATACTCATAAATCAGGCTTTATGAGTTACTGTTGTGGCTATGAAAGTTTGGCCTAGAAAGAATTTTTGGTCACTAAAAGAGAATCTCTTTGTCAGGTACCTCCTGCAACTATTGGGAATCAGTGACCTGGTGGTTTTGTAGCTGCCCAATAGTATAATGATACCTTGTCTTTTGCTTGACTTAAAAGGATAGGTGCCTGCAGCCCCAGGATTTTTTAAGATTGAGTCGCTCCTTTGAGAAGATGATCTTAGTTGATATCTCAGTAAAATTCTTAGTGAATGTCTCTCAGGGCTAGAGAAGAATAGGTATACATATGGGGCCAATTCAGGCTGCCTTAAATTTGAGCAATTTACAGTTTCCTGCAAAGCAGGACTGGTGATGAAGCGTTTATCGGCTCTTGATTTTCTGCTCTGTGTTCTGCTCACCCTGTGCTTTTAGCTGATCCCAGCAGATGCAGTATCAATTGATTTCTCTGTAATCAATCAGCTACAGCAGGGAATACCTATTTCCATATGTAAGTGTTAATAAATAAAGGCTGGATGTGCAAAAAAAAAAAAAAAAGGGTTAGGCACAAGGGGCTGGGGTTGGGGCTCAGCGGTAGAGAGCTCACCTAGCACTGTGAGGCCCTGGGTTCGATCCTCAGCACCACATAAAAATAAATAAATAAAAATATTGTGTCCAACTACAACTAAAAAAATATTTAAAAAAGAGGCACAGTGGTATATGCCTATAATCATGGCTATTTAGGAATCTTAGAAGGAAGGATTTCAAGTTCAAGTTCAGTCTGGATAACTTTTTTTTTTTAATTGGTTGTTCAAAACATTACAAAGCTCTTGACATATCATCTTTCATACATTTGATTCAAGTGGGTTATGAACTCCCATTTTTACCCCAAATACAGATTGCAGAATCACATTGGTTACACAGTCTGGATAACTTTTTGAGACCCTGTCAAAAAATTAAAAATAAGAAGGGCTGGGCACAATGGTGCATGCCTTTTTATCCCAGTGACTCGAGAGGCTGAGGCAGGAGGATCACAAGTTGAGGTCAACCTCAGATACTTAGCAAGGGCTTAAACAACTTAGTATTTAAAATACAATATAAAACAAATATAATAATATAAAAAGGGCTGGGGATGTGGCTCAGTGGCTGAGCACCCCTGGGGTCAATCCCTGCTACCCAAAACAAAACAACAAAAAAAGGAACTGGGGATGTAACTCAGTGGTAGTATCTCTGGGTTCAATCCCTAGTGCAAAAAAAAAAAAATTGTGTAAGAGCTGGGCACAGTTGTGCACATCTGTAAACTCAGCTACTTGGGAAGCAGACCACAAGTTCAAGACAAGCCTAGGAAATTCAGTGAGAGCTTGTCTCAAAACAGAAAAATTTTAGAAAGGGAGCTCTGTGGTAGAGTGCCCTGGGTTCAATCCCCTGTACTGGGGGTAGGGGGAGACTGTAAGAAATGAATAGGAGGGTGTGGGGAGCCATTCTCACACGTGATTGGGCAACTCCTGGATTGGGTGTGAGGCGCTCTGGCTAAACTGTGTCGGAGCTTTCCCGACCCTCTCCTGGTGCGAGAGCCTGTCCGTGTGGGGGTGTGACTGACCACTGACCCTGGGGCCAATCACTGACCCTGACCTTGGAGTGCTGCCCCCCTCAACCGTCATTGGATGGAATTCTCCCCTGAATTTCTTGTTCCCCAATAAAAGGCCACTCCCTGGCGTGCTCGCGCTCTCTCTCTCCTGCTAGCCCTGAGTAATCCCTGCTGCCCTACGGGTGATTCGAGGTTGGAGCCAGAGGGAGAGCTGTCTTGGACCTGGTCATAGAAAAAGGTAATTGAGTCTGTGTGTTTATTTTGATCTCACTAGCTAACTTTTATGCCAAGAACCTCTTTAATGAAACCAGTGCGCTGGTCGCATGGTGGAAGGAGGGCATGGGTTTGATCCCTAATAGTGAAAAAAAATGAGCAAAGGAAGATGTATATACTTGTATATAAGTATTTCATTATATAATATATATATATATATATATATATATATATATATACACACATATATTGAATATATATGTATTCATTATATATATAATGAATAACCCAGAAACTCAGATTTTTTTTTTTTTTTTGTGTGTGTGTGTGTATGCTGGGGACCTGAGACACAAGGACATAACCTTTCCCAAGAGCTGTTTTTTATATTCTTTTTTCTTCTGGTTTCTCTAAACACCTCATAGCCCTGCTTCCAGGAGACTCTGCTACAGTGGAGGCTACAACAGATTCCCCGTGACTGCTCTGGGAGACTGCTTCAGTTTTACTGGCTTCGGACCTCCCCTAGGCTCTCCAGGTGGCTTTGTCTCATAACCTGTCAGGATGACTTCTCTGCAACTGTTTTAGATGTCTCCAGTTCTTGAGAAACTCCTCCCACGACTAAGCAGTAAGTCTGCAGTTAGCTGGGGAGACACTGCACTGTACAAGCCCACCCTTTCCGTCTGTACGAGCAGCTCCCGCTCACCGTATCGGTTCAGCCCATGTGCTGTTTCTCCATATACTGCAACATAAAGCTTGATAAAGACTCTTTCTGATAGTTTTATTTTGCCTGTTGTGATGTCTCTTTCGAGCAGAGCAGTCTAAGCTGATTGCAGTTAGAGCTGGTAACACCAAGTGGCTACCACCAGGTTGTCAGCAGCCAGATCTGATAACACCAAAGATTCAGTCATTCCTGAGAGTGACTAGCAGCCAGAGAGCTTTGAAGAACTGCAGGAAAAGCTTCTAGAAGGGCTGCTATCCCGAGGAGGAGGACAACTCAAACAGCAATGGGGAGAGCTGCTAACACTAAGAGCTGAGAACTGCTGGCCCTCAAAGCACAGAGCTGTTAACACCAAGGGAGCTGCATTTTGCTTACTAGTGATTTCTATCTTAACTGAGCAAGTAGCCTATTGGTAACAGTGAGCCCAGGGCCACATGCATGCTGAACATAGTACCACTGAACTGCTTCCAGAGCTACAGTTGATATTTTAACCAAGTGGGGATTGAACCCAGGGCCTCATACATGCTGGGCAAGTCCTCTGATCCTGAGCTACATCCTCAGCCCTGCAGTTTGCTTCTCTCCTTTAGCAACAGGCATGACCATATCTCTATACCTGCCCATCATGCCTGGGCACTCTTTCCTCCAGACTTCATGGTGGGGGCCAGAGGGAGAGGCCTTTTTTGAGAAAGCATTTAGCTCTACCTAAGTCCTGGCCTCTTCCCTCCTTGGATTATCCCTTCCCATTGAGCAAATTACCATTTGCTCAATGAGATGACTTTCCCAAAGGCCTGGGCTCCAGCCATTTTATTCAACATGTGAACTGAAGTTCTCTGAAGAAAGCCTCATCTGTATAGATCCTTCAGACTGAGCTTGACTGACCCAAATGTGGTGACTGGGGAAAGATGGAATAGTGCAAATCAAGATTCAGTGTTATCTTGGGGTATATTTACTTCCTTTCAATAGCCCTTTACTTTTAACCTCTGTATTTGGCCTAACATCCTGTGACTACAAGGTAAAACTCTTGACATGTATAGCTTAACCTGACCTCTAGCCTTCACCAACCTCCAATACTGCAAAAGACAAACAAACAAAAAATAGTGGTGTTGTTTTACTTTTTTGTTGTTGTTGTTTTGTTTTGTTTTTGTTTTTGGTACTAGGTCTCAAACCCAGGGACGCTTAACCACTGAGCCCAAGCTCCAGCCCTTTTTTATGTTTTGTTATGAGAAAGGGTCTTGCTAAGTTGCTGAGACTGGCCTTGAACTTGTGATCATCCTGCCTCAGCCTTCCAAGTCGATGGGATTATAGGCATGTACCGCTGCACCCAGCTAGTTGTTGTTTTATTTTGACAAACATCATTCAACAAATATTTATTTAGCAATTACTGTTTGTCATCATATGGACCAGAGATACATCATCAAATAATGTAGGGACTAGGGAGGATAACAATGTTAAATAGGATCAGGAAAAGTTCCTTGTACAACCACCTGAAGGAGATGAGGGCCAGAGCCAGGATATACCTCACCAAGTATGCCTGGTTTACCAAGTGGAGCTACACTGTCTACTGATCACCTTGATCATCTGTGAACGAGAACCACCTGGAAGGCCTTTATACCTGAGAGACAATTAAGTGTTGGGGATTCCCACAGAACCCCTTGCAACAGGCCTGGGACACCAGCTCTCATCCTCTGACTCAGAAGCCACTAGGCCTGTGGACCTGTTTCCTCCTTTATTCATTTGACTTAATCTCATCCCAGGGTTCAGAACCTGGTCGACCAATATTTGTTCCTTCAGACTAGCCAGACTCTTTGGGCCCCTTCTGTGTCATCTCACACTAGTGACTGTCCCATATTTTCTTGGAAAGCCGGGCCAATGGCCAATGGCCAATAGCCAGTGTTGTAAATATATTGTCAGTTGTCCCCAGGGCTCAGCATCAGCCCAGGGCCAGGGCTGATTTGGCAGTCAGCAAATCACTTGACCAGAAGAAAGGGTGATGGCATTGTTATTAGTAACAAGAGCTGTCATTAACCTTGGGCTTCTGATGTGTGCTATGAGTTTGACGTTTGTCATGTCAGTTACTCCCTCTGTCTCCAGGACAGAAGAGGAGATTAACTTCTGTGTAACCTGCACAACTCCTGCTTCTGTGCCTGGGGGTGACACTGCCCAACCATGGGTCACCCAGACCCTTGGCTAGGCTGACCCCGTGAGCAAGTGCCTGCTCTCCTTAATCACGGCCTCCTTATCTTGATCCTGGCCCAGCCCATGCAGACCCAGCTCTGCCCTGGACATCCTCTCAGCCAGATTTTTCTACTAAGGCTTTGAAGTAGGGTGGGGGATACACAATCCAATCCCATCTATATGTGGCTGTAATATAGGAGGCATATAGATGTGTTCCTAAATATAGAAAATTCAGAATAAAATCAAGCAATACTTAGATAGGTGGATCTAGTCCACTGGAAAGGAGACCAGGGTGGGGAGGAGGGACTTTGTTAATCTGTTAGTGCCTGGAACTCAGGGGGTTGTTGTATGACCCTGTCTGAAATCCATATTGGCAGAGATGATAAAATGGGCCGCAGGGTGCCCACTTGATCTCAGGAGGAGCATCTCCTCGGTTATGGCCAAAATATCAGTCTACATGCAGCCTGTTTTGGGGAAAAACCTTCCCAAATCAATTGGTATGGCAAAATGTTTTCCTTAGCCAGTGTTTTGAACCCTGAGAACGCAAGACTTTAACAATGATTGTTAATAGGCACCAAATAAGCTGGGTGAGGTGGCACAGCTTGTAATTCCAACACTCAGGAAGCTGAGATGGGATGATTGCTTGAGCCCAGGAATTCCAGACCAGCTACCTGGGCAACACAGTGAGACCCCATCTCAAAAAATAAATAAATAATTTTTTTTTAAAAAAAGAGAGAGAGAGAATTTTTTAATATTTATTTTTCAGTTATCGGTGGATACAACATCTTTATTTGTATGTGGTGTTGAGGATCGAATCCAGCGCCCTGCATATGCCAGGCAAGCACGCTACCGCTTGAGCCACATCCCCAGCCCTAAATAAACTTTTTAAAATACCAAATGGATAAGCAACGTGAGATTTATAAAGGGAGCTTCAAAATTTGAGTTAAGGCTATCTTGGGACTGCAGAGTGATGGAGGCTGAGGAAACTGGAAACCCAGACCCCAGAGTTTGCAGCTGGGTCTGTGCCTGTCTGAGCCTAGGAAACCTGTGGAAAGTCAGAAACTGGGTGCATTTCACCAGGGGAACACATGTTAGAGAGTAGGAGAGAGCAGGCTGTCCCCAGCTTCCTGAGCCCAGAGGCTCCTGAGGACTGAAGGGACAGGTTACAGCAAGTTGGAGTTGGAACCCTCAACTTCTCCAGCCAGCCGGTCCAGCACCCACCAGGTTCCATGGGCCTGCCATGGGCCAGCACCAACCTGATCCCCAATTTCCTCCCTCACCAGTCCAGCATCTACTGGTCCCCACCAGGTCCCCCATCAGTCTGGCACCAAATAGGGCCCTCCTCCTCCCCCACTAAGTCCCCAGTCCCCCACCCCCTGACCCCCAATTGCTTCCATCTTCTCTGCCAGCCTTGATCCACTTGCCTCACACACAGAACAGTGAATAGCCACCAGACCTGCCCAGTCTAGTGCACACCTTCACTGTTGCCCACAGGTCCCCGCACCTGCCCGCAGGTTTTTGCACAGGACCTTGATTTGCAACTCACAGAATACCTGGGCCCCAGACGTGGCTAGGCCCCAACTTGTACCACATGCTGCTTAGCCACCATATCTGCTGAGTTCAGCCAGCAGCTATATGGCCACCTGTAGGTCTTAGCACCCTCCCACTTGTCCTGAAGCCCAGCCTTGATCCATCCTGCACAGAACAGCTGACAACCCCACATAACTGTTGAGAAGGGAAACTGAAAAACTTTTGAACTCTAATGAAAACAATTGTTCAATTTTTCATTGGAATCCGGTTGCTTTTCCTTTCCTTTTTTTTTTTTTTTTTTTCACATTTCTACCATTTTTGAAACTAACTGTTTTTTTTTTGTTGTTTTTTTTTTTTTTTTAAAGAAGGAGTGGGGAGGCAGAATTGAACAGATCAGGGAAGCTTTATTATGCATCGGAGGGTCACATTTTCTTTTTTTTTTTTTAATATTTTTTTTTAATATTTATTTTTTAGTTTTCGGCGGACACAACATCTTTGTATGTGGTGCTGAGGATCGAACCCGGGCCGCACGCATGCCAGGCGAGCGCGCTACGGCTTGAGCCACATCCCCAGCCCCTAACTGTTTTTTCATGCATCAGTTTATTGAAGACTGGGATGTCTGAATAGTATATTTCAGTTTTGTTTGTGTTCTTCCATTTATACCTTTCTCGTTCAATTTTTAATTAAATATTTATTATATATAAAATTTATTATATTTTCTCTTTCTCTCTTTTCTCTGCTAACCATCTATCTTGATTAGTCCTCTTTCACTCTTCCTATAATTTTTATTTCTATCTTCTCTCCTCCTTCCTCATAAACATCACATCCTATACCATTCCTGTTCTCTCTTTGTTCACTATCTGAAATTGTAAACCCTTTTGCACACTTTTATTATAGGCAATAACTGAGCACATCATTTCTGTTTTTTGTGACATAACTGTAGATGTTGTAGTAGAGGCTATTTGGTTTAAGGCTGTATATTTTTGCATTGGTTGTTTTATTATTTTCCCTTAAAGGCAAGGTACTGGAAACTTTCAGGGACAATCTAAGTCTACAGGGTAAAAACTGTAGTACTTCAGATCCACACTACTAGATGGGTAGACACACAACAGCATGAAAAACAAGGGAGCAAATTACCTCAGAAAAACCAAAATGTTCCAATACAATCCAGTGACTCCACAGTGGAATAAATGTCAGAGAAGGAGTTTGGGATGTTCATAGTTAGGGCTGGGGTTGTGACTCAGCGGAAGAGTGCTCGCCTCGCATACACGAGACCCTGGATTCAATCCTCAGCACTACATAAAAATAAATAAGTGAAATGAAGGTGTCCAACTATAACTAAAAATAAATATTAAAAG